GAGGGTGAGGGGGAGGAGGAATTGTTGTTGTGTTGAAGCAAAAGTGATGGGAGTTAAGCAAAATAAGCGGCTCCAGACCAGATTTTTAAATTTTGGATTTATGTGTTACATAGTTGGTAAAAGGAAAGATTAACAGTCTGGAGCAAAATCAGAGCACATATGACACAGTTGGGAAGAAGATGTCACCTCACAGACTGAGGGCCTCACACAATGTTTCTTAACCACACAGTTCATGCGCTATACGGCCCTGACTAATGCACCACCTGTGACGAGCACGGATTTAACGGTAGAGCAATCATAACGATTCTACCACACACAACTATGAGGTCACATGGCACTGTTACTCTTCTGAGGATAAGACACTTCAAACTCCACATGGAAGAGACTACAATATAAAATTAGAAGTCAGTTTAAACTGAAAACTTAACTTCCGTATGGCAATTAAAACTGAACAGCATACTTAAGTCTGATAAAACCCCAAAGTCCATATTTTGTCAGCATTAAGCAACATATTTATACCGTTCAACTTCTTTATAAAATCATGTTGCATATATAATGTTGAAATCAATTTTTTTTATATTCACTTAAAAATTTTGGGAAAGGCTTTTAAACAAAAAAGGCTGCATCTTTCGATTTAATTATAATTTTTCACTAAAGAATCACAAATTTACTTAAGACTATCACTGTAGTGCGATATACTTTTACACAAACTGACAAAGATCAAAGGGTTTAATGTCTTCTGATGTCTCGAGTGGGAGTAAACATACTGTGGAAGCACAGACTATTCTAGAGCCTAGGAAAAGCACACACTGACGCAGTAAAGGCCACTTCATAAATTTAACCTACAGACTAAACTTACTTTGGGCCAAATAAAATACACACAAAACTGTCAGCGCAGAATCATTTAAAGTACGGTCAAGTGATGCATGTGAGGGAGCCTTTAAACAGGATGAACAAGAAGTTTGGCCAGATGGGAGAAACAACTGCTAAGGCTTCACAGCGTGGCAGGACAACCACGGCTGACAACAACTAGTTACTCCAAACAGCTGGCAGGACTTTGTACGTTCCCGCCACACACAATCGCAGTATGTGAGGGGATAATCATGGCAATTATCCAGACCTGGTATTACACACTGTAGCAACACATTGATACGCAGCCTTGTCCCCCCATAAATAATTACAATTACCACGTCAGGAGGTTCAAGACGAAGCAGCAGCAGCCTCTCCACACACCGTTACACAACACTCTCAGGTGCAGACAACTATGACACTACCCTCTGTGTGCACACAAACTGACATACAGAATAGAGCTATGGGTGGATACCCAGAAAGTGCTAAAATGTTTGCTTCCAGAAAGGGAAACCAGACATCTGAAAGATGGATTGGATAGCCCTTTTGAGTGTTTTGAATTCTTATCTATTCAAAACAAAATTTTAAAAGAGTGATTGATTAGGCTTATAATGTACTAAGCTGACTAGAAAAACCGTATTTCTAGTTTTCTCATCCTATTGGTACTAAGGAACTTGTAGTGAAATAAAACTACAAAAATCACAAAAGAAATCAGACTTCCAAATGCCCAATTTTATTTTCTGTAATGCTGATTAAATACTTAAGTTTACTGACTGGCTAAAGGAGAACCAATCTAAATAAAATTTAATCCAACATTCAAAGAAATGCATAACTGCAGTGGACACACAATTGAAAAAAATTTTTTTTAAATTTAAAATTAAAGTGGTTACAAGGGAAGGCATAAAACGGAAAGTAACAGTAAAATGTATGAAGAATCTTTTAAAATGTTCTGTTGAAAAATATAGAGATTTATTCTCAAGAAATAAGCCAAAATCTAGTAAAATATTTATAGTAGATTATAGTCTGTTAAGAGTGGTGACGCTGGGCATGGTGGCCACCCCTGTATTCCCAGCACTCTGGAAGGCCGAGGCAGGAAGACAAGTTCAGGCCCAGCCTGAGGAACTCGGCGATTGCAAGACCCTATCTCAAACAAAATTTTAAAAAGGGGATGAGAATATAACTCAATGTGAAGGCACTAGGTTCAACTGACAGAACTGGAAAAAAAGTTTTTTTTTTAACTGCTGTGTTACATAGACGAGAAAAATGGCCAGTGATGAAATTAGTTTGGGAGAAACTCAAACCAATATAAACAAGTTATATTCCTGTAAGATGTTTTTGGTCTTTACTTTGCAAATACACAATACAAACTTTTAAAATACAATGGCCAACATTTCTTACTGATCAAAGAAGTTTCTCTCATATGTCTCTCTTGAGACTTGTACTTTACAGACTAAATGTTGGCAAACGCGTCAGATCTTCAACACTGCAAAGAAAACATTCCCTTTGCTGAAAACCCAGTGCCTGGTACAAAGTGCGTGTCCTCAAAATGTGGAATCCATTGAACAGGTGATCCCATGCCGTGACGCGGTCCTGCTGTGACACCAGCTCACGACAAGTCACCCCTGTGGAGACCTAAGCACCGATCCAAAGCTCACACCACTCCCTATGTGCAGCAACTCAAAGACACCATCACGTGATTTTTAATACGCTATGCTTTTTTCATCTTTCTGCCCCTCAATTTCCATAAGTTTGTAGCCAATACCAAAGAATGCCATTAAATTTAAACTACAACATAAAGAGGACATAACAGCATAAGACAATTCTTGCATCAAAAAAGCATTTAACAAATGCTGATTATCTGAATATCAAGCAAGCCTTCCCAACTTCAAACTGTCAGTAAAACACTCCACTTGACAGCAATTTAACACCCGAGTTGTCCTTAGCTGTGCATTCCTGTCTCAACTTCTGTGACGCCATCAATTCTGCAGCTGGGATGAGTGTCTAGTCTAAGAAACTGGCTCAAACTTCCTTCTCCAGCGCCTCGGCTCTTATTCCAGAGGCCTGCTGCAGGGACAGGAGCAGCGGCAGGGCACCCCAGCCTCAAAGACACACTCAGGAAAGTGTCCCGCCTTCAGGGCCGGAGCTGCTCTGCACCAACTGTGTCTCTTCTGGTCCTCACACCAGGTAAAAGTATCGCAGCCAACCAGGCCCAAAATGTTGGTTATCTCTAATTTTCACTTTTCTCTGCCCATCTCGCCCAGCCATTTGAGGCAGTTACTAAGCACCGCAGATTCTCTCTTAAAAGACTCTTGTCTATAATTATTTCCATTCCCATCGCCTTCTCCACATAGCAGTATTACAGTCACCTCTTCGGCACACTTGCAGAATCTCTGCCCACAGTCTGTCCTTCCAGGGGCGTCAAGGAGAGACTGCAAAGCACACTCCTGATGTCACTCCATTCAAAAATGTTCAGAGTCCCATGAAGTTTAAAAATGTCTAAGTTACTAGACCTGGGCTTCAGCTCTCCCTACAATCTGATTACATGGAAGAAATGAGCTTTCCACATTAAGAGTTTAAACTACTTTGCTGTGGGCGGGGACTTAGCTCAGTGGTGCCACCACCGCCAGCCTCAAAAGCGCAAGGTCCTGAGTTGGGTCCCCAGTACCACAAATAAATGAACAATACAACTGCAAAGGAGAAAAAAAAAAAAAAGCTTTCTGTGAATAGTTTTGTAGTCCTACTATTTTAGGAGATGAAATAGGACCTCCAAATGATATAAGGAAAATATTCTAACTCCCAACCTGTTAGATGTCTGATACACTGAGTTCATGTTCTCTGAAACCGAAGAATGAATTCTAGGAACAATGGAGGTTAACAGTAGAAAATATTTACTCAGAGGATAGCTCCTGAGAAGCAGGACGGGACCCAAATGCGCAGCCTGGGACCTCGCTTTACAGAGAATTTTTACAGAGCAAAACCCACAAGGTACCCCGGGCTGACAGCTATGACTAGCCGGTAAGGTTAAAAGTATAGTTGCTTAGGTAACAGGGACCCAAGAGGGCAGCGAGTCACGGAGCAAGAGCACACAGAAAGGATGAAGAGCTTCTCGGGCAGGTGATGGATCTGGGGGTCTCGGTCACCCACTGAGGCAACTGAGGGCTACACAGACTTCACTGGGCAGGCACTACCACCCCTCTCGTCCCTCAGGGAAGTGTGGGGCTGGTCCTTTCATCGTCATCTTGAGGCCTGGCCTCTAGCTGATGTGTCTCTGGCCACAGTTGTAGTGCTTTTACCTTTTGTCTCGACTCTCGAAGGTTCAGCCCTGACTGCCTGTTACATTTTTATCTAACTTAGCTGTCTATGTCCAAATCAGCCTGGTGATCCACACTATTTTAGACAGGGACAGGGGGAACTGAAGGAACAGGGGGACACAAGTCCAGAGCAGGCGGGCACTGTGGTGACCTGGGCCAGAAGGCACTCAAGGGAAGGAGACAAATGACTCTCGAAGTCCTGAGGGCCGAGTTCTGGGTTTGCTCTGACAGGACCTTGAGGGAGAGAAAGATGCCTCACTAGCAGGATCCGCTGGCTTACTGGCTACATCAGCTTGACCAGCCCCCTGCCTCCCTCTGGGGTTCTATTCCCTACTTTCGTATTGGAAGGGTCGCCAGGAATGCCACACTATTTTCACAAATAGCCCCGTCTCATCAGCTTGCCTGTGATGCTGCATCAGGAGCACGGTTCCATCATGCTGCTATGAAACACACACAACCCTCTTAGAAGGGCCCAGGAGGACCCCATGGGATGCGTCCCTCTATCTCTGAAGCAAATCCAGAACACTCAGGCCTCAGGACCCAGAGTGTCAGTTTGTCTTCCTTCCCTCAGAGGCCCTTCTGCCCCATGTCTACACCGGATCTGGGCTGCCGTGTCTTCCCATTCCGCCCTACCTAAAATAAGCGATACCGTTTCACATTCTTCTGCCAGGAAACTCGTGGGCCTGTGAGTGAATTGCCGACTAACGGGGGGCAGGGAGAGCTCCCTAGCCTCACACCCCACCTTTCAACGGTCGGCCCACTCTTGTCAGAGGCCCGAGAGGGCAGCAGGTAAATCGATGAGCCCAGACTGACCCCGCTCATGCAGCCCATGTGCTAGCCATGGGACACTGGGCAGGCAGGTCAGTCTCTCTGCCCTCAGTTTCTCATCCATTAAATGGGGACGAGGCCACAATCCCTTAACTTAGGAAACATTCTAGATTTAGACAAGTAACATACTGAGCATTGCTTTGCTCAAAACCTGCCAAGGGAGGGCTGGGTCAGTGTACTTTTTTTTTTTTCTTTTTGTACTGGGGATCAAACTCAGGTCCTTGCGCTTGTCAGGCAAGCAGCAACACCACTGAGCTAAATCCCCAGCCCAGGGTCAGTATATTATAACCAAATGTTTTTATATTTCTGCACCAACCCATGAATGTTCACATTAAAAACAAAAAACAAAAAGCTTCAAGTATGCAAAGTTTTCATTATCAAATGCATTTACCACAAACAAACAAAAAATAACAAAACACTTTTAGTTTAGAGGTTTAGAAGTGCAGGTAAGAGAATAGTAGTGGCACACAGTTGATTTTTCTGGGGAGATGAGGGGAAAGTACTGGGGATTAAACCCCGCACTTCCGCTCCGAGCTACATCCCCAGCCCATTTTTCATGTTAAGACAGGGTGTCACTAAGCTACTAGTATTCAGACTGAGCTTGAACTTGTGGTCCTCCTGCCCCTGGCTCCCAAGGGATATAAAAGTGAAAAAAAATTATTTCTTTCTTGCAATCTGATAAATTGAGGCCACTTAAGCTGTGTGGTATCCCATTAGAACAATTACTAACACGTAAAATTATGTATATGCCATGCAAAATGCGAATCGTCTCATACGACAATACAAGGCAGATACCCTGTCCTCGTTTTATACACATAAGGCTGAGTAGTGAGCCCATTACTAAACCTGGGCGCTGAGACTTCCTCTCCCCTTCACCATAATCCGATGCCTCCCTCTGCAAGGCTAGCAGTCAGGGCAATGATGGGCCAGGGTCAAGGAAACCTGCCTTCCCAGTGTCTCTCCCTTTCCTAACAGTGGCATTTAATATACACATAAGACCAATAAGGTCAGCAAAAACAAAGTTCAAACTCACCAAGTGCTGCAGAATAATGTTGGTTCTTTTGAATGAACTAAACCTGAAACAAATGCAGAATACAGTGAGCACAGTAATATGGGTGATTAGGTCTCAGTTTACAAATACGACAGTCTCTTCTAAAAGTTACTAGAATAAAAACTAAAGACTTAATCCCACTCATTGTTGACAGGTATGACGATGAATCAACACAGCCATCTTGAAAGAGTCTGCAGTGTCTTACAAAACCCAATGTATTCTCACCATGACCCAGCAATCCCACCCCGATTGTAACAAATAAATTGAAAAGTTACATCCAAAAAATCTGCACGTGTATTTTATGTTAGCGTCACTCATAACTGCCAAAACGTAGTAGTAGTCAAGATATCCCTCGATGGGTAGACAAACCAATCTTGGTATAGCTGCATGGCTGGTGTAAAAGGTAGGGAGCTGTCAGCCACAGAAACACACAGCAGAGGAAACTTCGGCGCCACTGCTAAGCACCGAAGTCAATAGAAAAGACCTCTCCAGCTCACAGCACGCCAGAAAAGGCAAAACCAGGACCCAACAAAGACTGGTAGAGCGGCCAGAGGTCGGGGAAGGAAAGGATGAATCTGCAGTTGAGATGGAGATGCTCAGAGTAGTAAAGCGAATCTATGTGACGCTGTAATCACGGGTACGCGACATTATACATTTGCCAAAGGTTTTCTGCTCAAATTTTCAGTTCAACTTTTCTGTACACTTAAAAATGCTCTGGCCAGGGATTTAGCTCAGTGGTGCTACCACCTGCCTCACAAGAGCAAGGTCCTCAGTTTGATCCCTGGTATCAAAAAAAAAAAAACTCTAAAAATATTTAAATGTATTTTTAAAGTTAGGTAAGGAAGCAATAAAACCAGCAGTTCCAGCATTTCAGACACGCTGTGAGATGTATGAGCTGGCACTGCCTTTCCAGTAAGTGGAATGGAAATACAGATCCACATCCTTTAAAATTTCGTGGCCTTTCACAAGTGAATTAGTTTAAAACACAACCTCGCTACTTGCCATTTTGCCATCCACTCATATTCCAAGGCTGAGACTGCTAGCCATCATTTAAAACAAAATATTAATTTGTATTACATGGGTATCTAACATCGGTTGCCTCTCAGTTCTCCAGGTATATTTTTTTATTCATCCCATGCTTTAGTATGCTTACAAGATAAGATCATCAGATAAATGAATACTTAAAGGCTTCCAGTTTTTAGGGGGAGAAATCAACAAGCATTAGGCTGTGATAGCAAAAACTGGTTAGCTAAAAGACCATGATAAAATACAATTATTTTAGTAAGTCCTGGTTAATAACAAATGAAACGAAAGTAGTCTGACAGATTTGCCATCAACAGTTACATGCAAAAGCACTGTATATGTTGTTTTACAAACCACCGCATTTCCTAGAATTAAAGATTATACATGATTTTAAAACTAAATCTTTTACTCTCTTGAAGTAGCTCTTTGTGAAAGTCCTTACAGCTTTCTTTACTACCAGCTAAAAATGCTTCGTGTTATTCTAACGTACTATCCTCCACATTCTGTTGATGGGCATTGTTTTCCGATTTGTATTTAGGTCTTGAGACAGTAAATTTTTCGTCAAAAATTTACAATAAAAAACAAAATTGAAAATTCCACAAGCATCTGCAAAGTTGAACTTATAAAGATGTTCATAACAATTATTTACACAAAGGGGAAACTGGAAAAATGTGAACAGAATTATATACATAATTGTACAGTTACATAGCCACTGATTCTTATTTTGAAATATTTAAAACTCATAGAAAGGTTATAACAAAATTACAGAAAGCAATGAAACAAAACATTTTTAATTTTGTTGTTTTCGCAAGGCTAGGCAAGCTCAGCAGTAGGACAGAATGGCACATCAGAAATGCAGAGGGTAAGGGGAGCTGGGAAGGCGCTGGAAGAAAGCAGCGGTGCCGAAGACCATGCAGATGCCCCACGCAGGACCGCGACGCGTGTCAATTCTCAAGAAACCGTCAGCTGCAGGGCAGTCATGAAGTCCTTTATGCAAATAAATTCCCATTAAACAAACTAAAAAGCCTAACAGGCAAGGACAGTGACAGGAAGGGCCCGAGCCAGCTTCCTGATGCAAGTGCCAGTAACAGGCATGTTTGGTTTGTGAAAATTCATCAAACTGTATCTCTATGCCCCGGACCTTTTTGAGAGTTCACATAAAGATACAGCTCTTACCCTTGGGAAACTAACAGTGGATACAAAAACACCACAGCCAGGAATATACTGGGACGCTTGTTTCTTGTTTTTAAAGCTGTATTTAAGACAGAGAAAGAAATCACAGCTGCATTCAGTAGCCCAAGAAGCCCGGTAAGGCCTGTGTGTACCGCAGACGCATACGCTGAGAATAATAGCCAGTCTGTTAATTTCAAGGACACTTTAACATTATCTGAAGACCAACAGTCTAGCTAAGGCTTTTTTTAAAAAAAAAAAAGGGCAGTACAACCATTATTACCACTCATAGCCACACTTTAGATGAAGGAATTCAGAAATATCTGTAATCCAGACAGGCACAGTGGTTCACTCACGTAATCTCAACACTCTGGCAGGCTGAAGCAGGAAGAACCCAATTTCAGGCCCAGTCCGGGCAACTTAGCAATTTAGGGAGACCTGGTCTCAAAAAATTTAAAAAAGATGGGGATGTAGCTCAACGTGAAGGCCCTGGGTTCAATCCCTGGTATAACAAACAAATAAAAATCCTCTGATTTCAAAATTTTCATTATTTTTTAATTATATTCAAGTTGAGTAGCACTACAATAAAGGCTGTAATCACCCAGTTGTTTAAATTGGTCACATGTCACACTCCTGCACCAGGACATACTGAATCCGCCTTACCACAAATGAAATGAAATGTCCCTGTGCCAGGCCAGGGGGTGTACAGTTTGTGCCTAGAATCCCCTAATGATAACAGGATTTACAGGACGTGGACTTGTCACACCGGAGACCAGTTAAATCCTAAACTCTAGAGGTGGCACACAGGCAAAGGTACTTGAAGTTCCACCAAATGGCTACAAGGTCATTAAAACCAACACTTAATAAAGAAAAATCTGCAGCGAAAGATACTAACTCACTTGGAGGAGTATTTTCTAAGTAGGATTTTCATATAGACTTTTGATATCTGAACTACACTTACCCTAACACTAAATTTTTTGTTCAACTTGACTCAATTTTATTTTTTTCAAAGCTGCAGGTAACAAAACTGTAAACACTGCATGTGCCTAAGTATGCTTGTGGGTAGGGACACTGGGATTAATTGGTAATCTGAGTTTACTCAGAGGAAGTTAACCTAACTATCAAATCTGAGGGCACCAAACTGTGTACGACTTAGAGTTCACAAAAATCCTTGGACCAATTATGACCAGAAAACAAAAGAGAAGGCACAGCTAAAATCCTTGCCAAATTCTACACAATCAGACTGCTTTCATGTAGTCTAACTTATGCTCACCTGTTTTTAAAGTCTGGTATTAACTGGAATGGGGGGAAAAAATAAGAACCAAGGTGGATTACATAAAGAAATTAATGATGAATGTCATTATACTGTATACCCAAAATGTACCGATAAATTTAATTTTTAAAATCTGGTATTAACTTTCAATCTCAAAACATGTTCTTGAGAATTCAGACTTCACAGGTACTGTAATTCTGGAGTTCTGGTCTTCTCTTTCTTTTCCAGTGACCCCAACACTGCCACCTGCTGGAGTGGAAGAGAGCTCACTAATTTCTCAAGTCACTTCTCCAGGATTAGTTCGCCTTGTGGGTACTTCTCGGAGCCTCAACCACTACCGGTCCACCCTGGGAAAGTGTTAGAAATGCAAACCACCTGCTCGCCAAGGAACCTCACCGGCTGGACCTAGAAATCCGTTCAACAAATTCTCCAGGTGATTATAATGCACAACTGAGCAACTCAGATGGGTATAACCAGCGCCAGCTGGGATAAACCAAAGGTTAGACAAACTTCAGAGAGGTGATCTGGGAACAAAAACTGCCTGAGGGCTGAACCGACACGGGGACAGGAGAAATATGAAGAGTGAAGCAAGAACGTGAGGGAGGTACCAGAGAAGCCACCGAAGGGCAGAGTTCAGGAGGCCCCGGGCCAGCAATGCCCAGCATGGCACCGGCCCTTCCTCCTCTCCTCCGAAGCACTATAGGGCACCCTCACCCTTCTGCACTCGGGGACTAGACCACTGTACATGACTTGGCCTCTGGTCTTCCCTCTGCTAAGGGTTGGATCTGGAAAAGGACGTATCTGATCCAAGCCCCCAAGCCGGTTCTAGCTTCACCTGGTTGGTCTGCATCGTGAACTACGGAGTGGAATAAAGACCGGCAGGCAGTTTTTGTATCGCTGTTATGGTTATTGTTTTGTTTTGTGATACTGAAGAATCGTTGCGCTGAGCTACATTCCAGCCTTTCTTGAGACAAGGTCTTGCTAAATTGCCCAGACAAACGCAAACTTGCGGTTCTCCTGCCTCAGCCTCCCTCAGCACTAGGACTATAGGTATGGGCCCGGCAGCGTAGCTAAATTAATTTTAACAAACATGTCTTATCAGTTGTTTATCAAAAAAGAAATTGGTGCGGTATTTGCCGACATCATTTTTTAAAAGCAGCAGCAATGACTATGTGTACGAATATTCTTCATGAGCTGACAGAGGCGCAGAAACTAATTTCCAAGTATTCAGAAAACGAGAACTGCAACTCCGGTGTGTAACAAACACCTACCTCAGAAAATAGAAACTATTCCTAAAGAAACACTCCGACCCTGTGGGGCGACCCCTAAGGCAAATTCTAAGCCTAGGAGGAAGGACGGTTTCCCTAGCAGGCTCAGGGCTGGACAGGTTTCCAGGCCGCGGCCAGGGGTCCTGGCGGATCAGATCCTTAGCCGCAGGGAGGTGCGTTTCACACGGCCACTGTCACGCGTCCACGCGGGGCTGAAAACGGGCTCCGGTGGTTTTGCCACGGGGCTTTCCGTTTGTTCTGAGACAAGGGCTTGCTCTGCAGCCCAGGCCGGCCTCGGACTCCAGAGTGCTGGGATGGAGCCTCTGGAGAAAGCCAGATAATCCAGCGACCACGAACGCAGATGCGACGCCGGGCAGGGCAGGAGCGCGAGCTGCGCTGAACAGGGCCC